TCAAACGTTCCGAACTACAAAACTTCGACTCAAAAAATGAGACAAAAATATTTTAGCCTCGAAGCATTTCACGCACAGAATACGAGAGAGAATGTCCAGAAATGATGGACCCCATAATTCATAAAAAATATACTAGTTCTAACTCTTTATTCAAGGTGAAGTTGCGGATGATACTCGTTTTTCTTTCTAACTTTAGCTACTTGACATTCTGTGTTAGTTAATTCTTTGGTTTATTGATCGTCCTGAAGAACGGGGACATTACAAGATGTGATAAAGTAAACCGAGATCAATTCAAAAACGCTTTTGGCTGAAAACGCACGGATCAACTCGACGGGAAATTTTAAATTCACGTTTTATACCCTATATACCCTTGCTACTGGAGAATTACCGGCTGATGATCGCTCTGAAAATATGGAATGTTCATTGTTCAGAAAATATTCAATGATTCAATTTAAAGATTTCCTACTTTCCAGTTAAAGGGGGTTAAAAAGCCACACTAATAAAAAATCAGAGAAAAGATAACGTCAATAGCTTTGATATAAGATTCAGTGAGAAGATGAAATTGGATTTTGAACCTTAGTACATTACTGAATAACGCAATGATTATTCACTACTCCAAATTAGAAAAATTTGCCCTTTCATCAGAAAGTAAATCTGTCTCGTCTGATTCATCGTCACTGCTTTCACTTTGATAAATAAACCACATTAGTTCATCCACATCCATTAAATTTTTGTTTTCACTATGTGTTTGATCCGGTGGTCTAACTACCTGCCGACCTTGTACTTCAGAATTTCTCTGCAGATGTCGGGGAATTAAGGGCAACTGGAAATTTTGAGGCAATCCTGTTTTCAACCCATAAAGTCTTATGATATATACATCACCAGAAGAATAAAGGCAAGCAAGTTTATTCTCATCAGGAGACATTGCTATTCTAACTATAGACTCCTGCCTTCGATATGCAATTGATTTCCATTCAAGAATGTCGAACAGCAACACAACACCATCGATACCGTATGATATCAGGTAACGATTTCCTCTCAAAAATTTACAATATTCTATTTTTCCTGAATGATTATGTGGTACTTTACAAAATGTGTCTTGCCCGTTGAGTGGAAATATTAATATATCATTAGCAATGCAACAAGCTAGCATTTTGTTATCAGAAGAGACAGTACAGTGACCACATTTGTCCAACGCTGCGTAATTTGGGAAAGTAAGATTTGAGTGTCTCTCTGGTGTTGCATACTCTAAAACAAGGATACCAGAAATACTGCAAAAACACAGTTTGGTGTTGTCGGAACAGAAGCAACAGCAGTCAAAGCGTATTAAACCGAATGGAAAGGGAGGGAGAATGGGGCCAGTCATAGCTTTAGTGTTGACGTCGAACACGTAGAAAGACTGATTATGACTGCCATATTGGACACAGAAAGCAAGCAAAGAGCTATCAGGTGGAAATACAAGACAAGGAACAGTGTATTCACACTTATCTGAAAAAACGGGGTAAAGAAGCTTACCAGTGCTAAATAACAATAATTCGCAACTTTCGTGTAAGGCAATTAACTTTCCATTGGGGGAGAAAACACCTCTCTTTACAGAGATTGTTTGTGAATTCTTTTTGATTCTTTGTTGAGCCCATATTTTCTCCGAGACCAACATATCCTGCCTTACTTTCCACAATTTGCACGTTCCGTCTGAGTGAAGCGACATCATTGTATCAGCAGAAGTGAACGAAACATCAACTGACTTACCACTCATTGTGACAAAATCCCAACAATAGCGAAAATTTGCAGGTAAATCAGTCAACATAACGATTCTTCTTTCATTATCTGTAAGAAAAATATACCCAATCCCCTCACCATCGTCAGATGCACAATGCACAGGATCTGCCCCCGAAACACTGCAAAATTCTGTGCAAGTTTCCAAAGAAACAGCGTACAGTTTATTCCCTCTGGAATAAACAAACAAATTACTATCATTTGTAAAAGCACAATCATAGGAATCTGGAACCAAATGTTCGCTTTTCCATCTTGAAATTTCACTTCCTCTCACTTTTTCGAAGATTTCAATGTTATTATCTTTGTGCATGTGTTTTGCAAGCCATCTCCCATTTTTTGAAAGAATTTGGAATGGATCAGTTAACCTTAAAATCTGCCAAAAGCATTCTCCGGATGTTTTTTGGATGAGACGCGAAACCTTTTCATTTCGAGTGCGCTCTTCTACGCTCTGTTCGTCTTTCAGTTCTCCTGATACTGCTGGATGCAGCGGCACCAGCGGTTCGTCTGTGCAAAATATTACATAGAAGCAGTACATATATTCAGCGAAATCAAACAATGAAATTTCCCCAATCGTGTCTTCAAAGAATTTTACCCTGGAATGGAAATGCCAAACATAAAAGAATGGTTCTAACTGCAACGAAAACATCTCTTCTACCACAGGTCTCCCAGTTTGCACATTCCAGATTTGATACTGAAATAAGTCAGCATAAAGAACTACAATTCGATTACGAACAGAAGTTTCAAGCTTTTCAAATTCAGCACATAAGCCTGTGCATAGCCGTTTGTGTTCACGTACAATCTCATGTTTCCTCACACCGAAGTAATTGTTCTGTATTTGTGAGATGGCACCTACTAAGTCACGCTCGTGTTCGGCCCACCTTAAGAATATGTAACAATAACACCAGCATCCTTTCCCGTTAATATCCAAGTTCGTTAGCGCAATGTATTTACCGTCATGAATAAACGAACCCCAGCGATAATGTTTAGAGTTACCTGAAAATTGTGACATTTCCACGACACGTTTCTCCTGCACTGAAAACCATCGATCAAGTCTTCCAAAAAACACAAATTTATCATCAGGAAAAAATGTCAAATGCGATATAGATTCACTCATCACTTCAAAAGGTCCTAAACTCGAATCAAAAGAACGTACATTATACAAATAAAGACATCGCCCTTTTCCTCCAGCAAGCAGTGTCTCATCATGGGAAAAAGCAAAACACTCCATGCTATTTTGAAAAGCTTTTGCATTGAAAAAAATTTCAAACCCTGATTCCATCCAACAGCTGCCTGGCCCAGTTTTAAAATCTGCACGGGTTAGTTCAGGGTAATTACGAAAAGAGGAATAAAGAAGTTCAGGAGAATCGAAAACAATATATTTGTCTCGTTTAAGAACGAAGCAGATATCCTCAAGATTCTTTTTTTTCCTTTGACCAAACGTTAGCCTGCCCAAAGACATCTCTAAGTCTTCAATAAGAGAGTAAATTCCGATTCTGTTGCTTCGTATTCGCTGTTCAAGAAACCGATAGTTTGTCAAAGCATTGAATACGATCTCAGAACTCCTAGAATCTTCTCTGATTAAGAAGCGAAGGCCAAAACACGAAATATAATTTACTAAATCCGGCTCGTAACGCGACAAATTGTCCCATCTTTCCTGTATAAAATCACTTAAAAATTCGACAGCAATATTTTTGAATAATTTGTTTGCCTTACGTCGGTCAATAAACAGCATTCGAGAGGCCTTTTGCTCATCAATTAACCAGGCCGGGATCAAACTGTGGAGAAATGAAAAGGTTTTATCTGAAGTTCGCAATGCAACAAAATGTGAGACAGCGTCAATAACTTCCTGCTTATCAAGAGCGGAGTTCTCTCTTTCTAAAAGAAATGAAATGAATGAAACGGGAAGTGGAGAAGGCGCTACCAAAGCACAACCAAACAATTTCCTATAAATGTCTCCACCTACTTTGTCGTAAACACGTTTAAAATTCTTGTAAAAGAAATCGTTGATATTTCCAGGAAAAAGATTGAAACCCAATTGTGTGGTATTTTTAAGAATATCCACAAGGTAAAAAGCGTACAAAAACATTCCATTGCATTTTTTCGTTAGCTCTTCAGCAGAGTACGACAGGCCCGTGAACTTCACATTTTTGTCAAAAAAGCGCCGAATATCCTGATTATGCTGCTGATAAAAGCCTGCGCTTTCGCTATTTCCTGCACAAATCCTAATACATGGGTTGTACGTTTTCAGTCTAAACTGCACGGAGTCTTCCGGACGACTAGTAATGAAGAAAACAAGCCATTCAGGAAGCATGGGAAAACGGTTCATTATGAGATCAAGAAAATCTTCTCTGGACCAATATTCTGCCTCATCTAGTGCATCAATCACAACAAGTTTTTTCGCAACACGACCGCATTTACTTAATGGCTCTTCTAGCAATTTAGTAAACAGCTCGTGAACTCCTAGCTTAGTATTAGTCAACATATTTTGTACCCTGGATTCCCCTCCCACAACTCTATCATATTGACTATTACAATTACACAGTTGATAAGCGATAGTACCAAGCAGATACCTGGGATCACGACGTGTGCCATCGTAGTGACGACAAAAGTACGCCGCTGCCATGTTTCCATCCTCCTTTGCCTTCTGAGCAATGACAGCAGCCATGACACTTTTACCAACTCCGGCATCACCCAGCAGTACATAGGCTCTGGAGTTACCAGAATCACTGAACCACTCGTTGAAATCTTCCAGGAACCAATGTCTTGTGTCTGGATCGTAACGTCCAGCAAAATATTCAATGTCAGAAGTACAATCGGAGAGAACTAGAAATATCAAAGTACATATTAAAGGAACTTGCTATAGGAATTTAAAATCTCTTTAAATGATTTGATTTATGGATTAACCAGGTCATTAGTTCTTAAACAACATGCCATATGGATATGGAAGTCTTCAATATTTTGTTAAAACTATTGCATTACTAATGTGGTGAACATTTATTTTTATCGTGAATTTGCACGAAAGAATTGGCCGGCTACATACAGAACAGACTGCTGCATAGTGTGTGCAAAAAATTCGCAAATAGGAAAAAAACTTGTATTTTGACGGCAAATTCTGATCGCACAAACAGGAGAACAAAATGTCCGATTTACACCTCTTCACTTTTATTTGACGTAAGTTTTACTAAGATATTATAACCAATTGTTATTTAGTAGTTAAACAATACCGTAAGAAATATTTTGTCGGCCCTCGAGTTTTGTGACACGTTGTTGAATGGCTTCATGTCTGACCTGATGCATTTCAACTCTGGCAGAAATAAAACTCTGTTCTTCTTGAAGAACTTCTTGATCAATTGTCAGTTGATCTACTTTGTCAATTGTAGAACTCAGTTCTTGTTGAAGAACTTCTTGTTCGGTTTTCAATTGGCTTACATTGGCAGCAGTATAGCTTAGTTCTTGTTTCATAGTATCCTGGGTAAGCTCCATATTTTTCACTCGTTTCTCGCAATTTTGTAAATTTTCGTGAGTATTTTCTAAAATTTCTTTCAAGTTGCACAGTTCTTCTTGACTCTCAAACGCCATCTTGTTCACGTCACTTGACAATTTAGTAACATGTTCTTGCATTACTTTAACTAGCTCCGAATCAATTGAGGCATTCATACACAATGCAACACCTAAAATAAGAAAAACAACATTCTCAGTAAAATTGGGGGGAAAATTCAAACCAAAATAATTTGCTTATTTTTTCATGCAATAATACGCGGAATAGAATATGTAACAAGAATATAATTACTCGGACTACCGTAGGTTTGGAAAATGGGCTCGTTTTTTCCTTTTGCGTCGTGACTTTACGAATTCACGAACATGCCATAACACCAAAAATTAGGCGTTACAAGCGAAAGCGAGATAACTGTAGCACGAATGAACGCCTGAGCAGGCGTCTTGTTACATAAAAAACACATACCTTTGTCTTTCCAGTCATTAAGATCCGCTAAAACTTTCAATTCATCTGCAGGAGAAAAACCAAATTCTCTTAGCAGCTTTTCCATGTCGTCAAAACCCTTCTTGAAGTTGGATTCATCCCACTTAGTAACATCGCAATGACCCCAAGCGTTTCTACTTTCTCTAACAGCAATTGCCGCATTTTTAAGAGAAATAGAAAACACTGGAACTTTTCCAAGTAGAATAAGAACAGCGGATGCATCACAAGTTTCGTCGAACGCGCTGAGCTTAGCCATGTAATTCTGGAGAAAGAGCTTGGCAAAGTCAATATAGGAAGTAACTTGGTAGTCAAAATTGGAGTAATCAAACTTTTTATAGTGCGGAGCTTTTAACTTGGTATTATTCCCGTTGATGTTCTCGTATTTCATGGCATTACTAGCTGGATATTTCGGTGAAGGAAAGCTGTGTCTGGTCTGAACATGAATATTGTGGTTCAATTTAAGGTCGTTGTACTCCTTGAGAATTTCCTGCTCAAGAACAGGACGTATTGCAGGGACGACGACATGGTTGAGAGCAATTCCAAAGACGCACCATCGTTTATGGTCCTCTGTTAATGTGGTTAAATTTGACCTGGGTGACAAAAATAATATTATGATCGTGTTTTCAGTAGATATTCACCCCGCTTTTGGCGAATAATTGTTCACTTATTAGCAACATGCAGGTCCGAAATTAGAGCAATGAAGGGGGGGGGGGGGGTAGTGTTTGTTCATATATTTAGTTTGATAGATTTCTTACGTAAGTCCAATAACTTAATAAATTATATAGCCTACTTCAAATACGAATTACCTTTTATGTGAATCAGTTTTCAATTTACTTGTCATTTTGTGGCTGTTTTCCGTAACATTTTTCGACAATAATTTTCCACCAATATATCCTTTAAATAGTAAAAGTTTCAATATTAGGGAAAGGCAAAATTAATTTTCGTGATAAATTTCCGCGGATCAGTTTCAATCGACATGCTTGCATGCATAACAACTATCCCATCACAACAGCCGAGATTTTATTGAAGAATTAGTCGCCGAGGTGATTACAACCCTATATTGGCTTGAATATGTATGCTTGTAATCACCGAGCCTGGGGTGACTAATTTAGTATAAATTTCGAGGTGTTTACAAATAATCAACATAAATCAACATAATTTCATAAAAAAATATAATTTCTTCACCGACCAGTGACTATAATTTCAGAGACAGTAAATCTTGACCAATCAGAATGCTGGAAAGTCAACAGTCAGCTCGAAACCTAACTAAATAGCTAGATAATTATTAATTTATATCTAAATGAAAACATTAAGAATCGTTCGGCGAAAATTGGTATTTTAAGGACATTATTATCCGTCATCCGGTAATCATTTTAGTTTTCCCTAAGAATATTCTGCACCGCTTTGAACAGTTAAAGACATGTATATGCTCAAAAATGTGAAAAAGTGCAGCTCATAAAAAAATGGTTGTTACGAAAAAAATGCTGTGTCAAAATGTTTTTATTTGAAGCCATTCAACCGGTTATTACAGTTAACATAGAATTAATTCCAATTTTGAAGCAGTGTTTCTTTAACTTACCAAAATAATAGACATTTTCATATCTCACGATATATAGCAGTAGAACATTATCCATTGCGTTATATAAACTGACGTTTACTACGCTATATTCCTATATATTTCTAACAGACACTAAGTTGATTCGTTAAAAAATGCACCGTATTTCCATGTATCAACTCGCGTGAGTTTAAAAATTCAGCTGTATAAACGACATCGCTTCAGGCCAAGCGCGCTTAAACGGTACTTTGGTGGTACAATTACCATAAATTGTCGAGCTAACATTTATTGCCAACGTTTCTTTACACCTTCGGCAATCGGCACATACTTTTAGATCATGCATAAAGGCTAATTTCCACTCAAGAAAACGAGCAGCGGATCGGATCGGATTTTTACCGAGCTGGTCCGATCCATGAAGTGATTTCGGATCGGATCAAAAAAAGTTAAAACTATTTGAACTTTTTTTTTATCCGGTCTCGGATGCTTTCGGATCAATATAAGCCAAAAATTTCAACAGACGGCGCACGCGCGGATTATCTTTCGTTCCGATCCGATCCGCTGCTCGTTTTCCGGAGTGGAAATTAGCCTTAAACGTCTACACCAGCTAGGCCGGAAGCTAACATACTGACTGTCAAACACATCAACACGTCGCTTATTGCCAGTTTACTATCTAACAGTGGCGAAAACAACAATCTATGATTAGATCTATACCATCACTGATCACTCTGACGGCAAAGTTTTTAAATTTGCCTTCAGCATCGATTATTTAAGATAAGTTGGTATTACCTGCATGGATTGACGAAAATTTCACTTTGAATCTGCCGGGCGAATTTCTCGCAGCTAGGGCCTAATAGTTCCTCCAAAACGTTGGTGTTTTAAAAGATTATTGTCATAGAAGACTTTCAAATTGATAGGACTTACTGATAATTCCAATTATTCACCAAATAAAAAGAGGTGATTACGATACATCACATGAAGTCGGCGTGTTAATTTGGTAGACGCGAAATAGTTTATACGTGTGAGTATATACGAATTAATGTGTGGATTGTCCAGCGCATGCGTAAATCGGGAAAACTTCCCTTAAATGGCCTTATCTTTTCCACTTGGTAAGGCTGTTTCCACTAGGCGGAATTTTGCATGAAAGGCATTTTTTGAAAGGCAGAACTTTTCGGCTTAGTGGAAAACGTCCCTTAGCAGGAAATTTGATTTGTATATAGTTTAAATTGGGAAACCATGGTTCAATGACCGTTTTTGACTAGTATTCCTTTAAAATATCGTAATATTACCCCAAAATAAACCGCAATCCAGAGAATAATTCTTATTTAAATGTTTGAAGCATGAGTCGAAAAAAATCTATAAGCCGGTTCACAAAAATCGCTATAATTATACGTAACAGTGCCCTTTCTTTTTACCCGTTCTCTTTACTTTAGGGGGTGCCATTTTATATAGTTCTTTTAAAACATCAGATTTTATATGTTTTCATTGTAATCACCAATAAAAAGTCATCAATAAAATCCCATAAGGGTTTGTATGGATAATACATGTCATGTGACTTGATTGTGTTAATTTCTTTGGTAAACATTATACTGTCTAAATTATGAAGTAACTGCGGTTATTATAGGGCTTATCTCCTTTAAATATTAGCCACTCTGCTAACAAAACTTATATTAAATGAAATTGTACTTGGTAGTATCCGGTAATAATAGCTTAAACCTCCATGCATGGTTACGTATACTGTTTAATACAACACAATTCGATCTGTCCTTGATATCTGGAGTGGTGGACCTACCAAGACGCAAATGGCAATATAGAAAGAGTTCAGAGAACTCTTAATATTATAATAATATAATATATTAATATTATCTCTTAATATTATCCCCGAGCCGGTGCAGAGCACCGTGCGAGGGTACTAATTCCGCCCGGAGATTAGGAATTACACCCGGGACCCGGGAGAACATAGCGGAATCCAAAGTTGCCCAAATGTCATGGACGTTCAATGGTCATGGTACTTGTGCGCATGCGCGAAATGCGAACGAGTGTAGACTGGTAATCAGCAACTTCCTGATTGGCTAAGACGAAACGTTTGTGTTTCAGTGAAAAACGTCAGCAATTTAAGTTATTTAACTGTCATTTTGCAAACAATTTTTTAAAAAAATGTTTCGAAAACAAAATATGAAATTTGGAATAAAATAACAGATAAAACACTGGGAAGAGTTTAAAATATTATCAGAACTGGTGGAATTAGCGGTGAAAAGGAACAACTCAATTATAATCCTTGAAATGGTAGGAGTCTATTTTGTTTATTTCGAGGTTTATTTCGTGTTTGCTGTACGAATACATTTTATGACCTTGGTACAGTATGTCGTTTTGCTCGGTTTTGCGAAGACGTGACCGACTATTTAAGGCTTTACATCATCGTTTTAACTTCCAAAAGAGTCCTTAAAAATGTAATTCGGAGTTTTAATATAACAAATATCACTTTAAATGTTTATATATAGTCGACTGCAATCACTGCATGAATTTAATAATCGAAAAACAACATTCGACGTTCACTGCTTGGTTATTTATATTATTTGGGCTGTTTTGATGATTTGAAGGTTTAGCTATAATGAAGTATAACTAAACTGCGAAAGTCTATAACTTAATGCAACGGAAAGCAGCAGGAAAACGGGTGATTTCACTTCACCTTTACGACTGTCAACTATGTTTGTTTCCGAAATATTTGAAACATCAGCTATCGGCTTTACATTTAGGACATTTCATAATATTGAAGGTTAAGTCTGGCTAGCTCAGGAAATATTTTGCTTCCTTTGAAATGGCGAGGGGTTGCTGCATGCATGTATTTCTAGTATATGGACATACTGGACATAGGGATTATGGTAGCAAATTAAACGTGAGTAAACTGGAATCCCTGGAAGAACGCAGAAACAAAGCATGTATACTGATGATTAAAGATTTGATCGACCCGAATCACCGGCTTCATGAATTGTTGCCAAAACAAGTAAAAAACGTTAGGGAAAAGGAAACGAGATTGAATAAAGATAGATTATATAATTATTTCTGCGGGACAGAATGTTGTATAGACGTAGTCTATTAGTCCATGATATAGACTTGTATACCTCACTTTTAAATATAGGTAATTTTAGACGCATTTAGTATAGCTTAAATTTTTATTGTACAACCTTGTAATTTATTGGAGAGAGAGATACGCTAAATCCAATAGAGGCAATCCAATAAACCCTTAGGGGATTTATAAATTATTTTTTTTTCATGATAAAAACTATTCAGAATGTTGATATAGGCATCAAAAGCGTCATTTCTTCTGAATACGAAAAGAAAGATATAAAGAAAGATATAAACGAAGAACAAATCTTTTTCCAAGACTTTGGGTGGAGCTTTGCTTATTTTAAGAGAGCAATTGCTCCTGACTTCTCTTTGCTCGATTATTACTTATTGCTCATAACTGTTATTTAGTTATTTAGGAATATAAAAAATGATAATCCATTTGCACTTTTTTTCCGACAAAAGCTTCCAGTGCATGCACGCCTAAGCCCTCATTCAACACAAAATTATAGCGATAAAGTTTACACCAAAGTGGTGCTTTATTACACAAGCATGGTGTTTATTTACCGACTTTTGGCGTAAATTTACGGCGAAGCAGATTAACTTTAGCTATATCCTTAACCGGTACCGTGTTGAGAAAACACAATATTGGTGTAATAATACACCTCGAAGGGTAAATTTGCACTTTGTGGGTATAATATACTGATTTACACCAAACTGATTGTGTGTATTTACACTTATTTCGTGTTTGCTGAACCCTTCGAAATTTAGTGTTTTGACTTATGAGGAGGTTTTGAAAACTCCTAGATCACATTCTATACTATTTGCAGTGCTGTCATTACTGTGAACCATTTTTAGCGCATCCTTGATATTAAGTACCTTACAGTTAACGTTTCGTTTACAGTCAACGTCATCGGCAAATGCTCACATCAGATATGCCTCGTAAAGGCTCTAGCTTTATTTACATAACATTTTAGAAGCTTAAAAAGACACAATGTTTGTCAATTTCGCTGAGTGATTTTTGATCGCTATTATTTTCTTTTAGGTGTGGCTATAATGCAATGCAACAATTTAAATATCAAATATTCAACCGAATATTTTACACAAGTATCGTAACTAAGTGGCGTCGCCATCGATAAGTGGGTGGACAATTCATTCCCAGCTTGAAATTTGCATCACTTTAAGGTCTTACTGAATATATGCACAACAGCAATGCACCAGTGCATGACTGGCTCCCAAGATTATATAATTTATGGAAACTAGAATATTCTTTTGGTTTCATCTTATAAAATTGGAAATGCATCAAGGGCAATAACCCCTAAAAGTTAGCAAAGACCCTTTGCACCCAAGACACAATCTAATTTACACACACTGACACCCTGATTATATTTCTATATACACTCCATATACAATATTATAGATACAGTAAAACCATACGATAAAATACGGAGATTAAAATAAACCACAACGTTATGCTTAGACAGATTTGAAACTGCACTCACGGCCTATCATGAGATAATTAATTATTCGACAGTCTAATGGTTAGGAAGCATATGGGTTTGCAAAAATACAAATAACATTCTATAAACCTGACAATTAAAATACTTCAAGATATTGGGAGAGATAAATGTATTTAGATATACTTCGACGTTGTATGCTAAACGAGGCCTAATTCAATTAACGTTGTCCATCCAAAACCATATAAACGTTAACTCTGAGTGCTCAAGGGATCATGATAAATTTAGACTTGTATAGTTGGAAATTTGGCAGTGCAAGAATATCCAAGAAGATTCAGGCTACGATTCATGCTACGTGCAAGGCAAGTTTCTGAATTGAAGGGATTAAAAGGTTCGCTCAGAGGACAACCTTGATTGAATTAGCTGTATACAAGTCACATTACAACTTGAAGACATATTCAAGATTGTAACTGATTAACCATGAATGACAATGTTAAGGGATACCAGAATATATCTGATTTGTATATTACCTACCCGCGTTTACTTCTTTAACAATCGATCGTATGAGTTATGACCATGTCGTTCTTCCGTTCTTTTGAATTTGGATTTTAGTCCAAATCTTCTCCATCTAGGCACAACGATCGTCCGTTGTAGCACATGGTTATACTTTTACAGGTAACGAGTGCTGGTGACTGATCTAATACAGCCAATGGCAATATATTTTAGAGCGTTACCGGTAAACAAGACCTTGAATTTGTGATGCTCACTTGTGTTGTGGTCACTGCGGGGTGGGGAAATCTTCGAATTCTTTGCATAGCTTCGAATTCAATTCTTAGTTATTCTATGTGGACTTTCAAACTGCATGATATGTACGTTATATACCCAACCAATTTTTTTGTTGTATAATAAGTGTATTATAACAACCTGTAGCGTTACCAGGCCTCAGAAAATCTTGAAGAAAAACTCATATTTACTGGAGAATATAGAATTGGGTGTACCGTTATTAACAGAAGCGTAGTCAGCCCAAAATGTACGAGGGGTACAAGCATAGGTTATATATTAGTTTCAAAAGAGTTGGAACTTTAGTTGCTTACAATCCTTTAGACGTATATTCATAAATGCCATATTCGTATGGGATAAAATTTCATGAACTGTCGGCAGCGGCGTGATTGGGGATTTAATCATATATTATTTTATAATAAACGATTAGTTTCAAAGAAATTAAATCACTAGAGTACGACACAACCCTATGAATATTCAAATTATACGAGCCCCCAATCTGGTGCCTGGCTGCCTCGGACCGTCTGACTGTACTCATTTCTAGTTCTTAAACCGATTTCCATTTTGTTCGCTTCGCCCGCGCGAGCCTTTAGAAAGTTTAATAAAAAATACAGTACTGTGCAGAAATAACCTAAAAAATACCGCGGTTAGCCTAGGTCAAACTTCGGTTTGATCGCGATTGATCTGCGGTCCGCTGATTATTTCTATAACTGCATGTATAGAAATACGGAAAATGTTTTCTTTTCCTTAAATAAAGAAGAAATTGCATCCGGGCTATTTCTTTTCAGTGAGAATGATTTTTGACCGTAACGACAAAATTGAGTATTATAAATTATGATTATAAGAACAAATTAAGTATTACAAAATTAAGTATTATAAGAACATCAACATTAAGCAACCTTTTCTGCTCACTGCAAATTATGGCATTTAACGTTCGCACGCGCAGCAAAAGAAACATAAATTTAATAACGTCCCTCCTATGACTGTTCCCATCACTACATGCATTCGGATGTCTTCGTGTGGTGGTTCGATAACCGCGACCATGGCTAGCATACCAGCATTTACTGCAACAATCAAAAAGTATGTCCAACCATAGTATACATTCACCCTGTCTTCGTTTTTGAACAGCGCGAGAACTGCCTTGGACGGATGGAGCAAAAACGGGATTAAAATATACGTGGAGATGGTGATAGTTCCAAAACAAACGCAGCATCCCAGACATTTGTAAGTATCAGAGGAGTTTCCCGAGGAAAAGCAGCAACTCTCCATGAAAAGTAGGCCAATCAAAAGGACTGTGATATGAATTATAAATGCAAGGAATATAAACCATTTAAACATGTGAGAAAAAAGAACAATTACCATGAGTCGAGCAATAAAACCGAACAGTACGTGGAAGAAAATTAAAATTCGAAATAGGTAATCTTTGTTTTCAACTGATTGCGTTTCAAAAGCAGTAGTTGTCCATGTTAAGCTAAGAAGGGAAACCACGATGGAGGTTATGGTGTACCATGGAAATTCCCATTTATCTAACATTATGTAAAACTGAAGGCACCACTGTGGACCGGATTCGTACATTGCCTCAATATAGCGCGCTAAAATGAGTGATCCTTTGAAATCATGATCATCGGATCTGCATACGGTTGTTCGACAACAAATGACGACCAAGCCAATTGCGAAAGGAGCGGCAATGAAAAGTATGGATAAATTAAACCACTGCTCGTCACCATTCTGGTGATGCTTTATGGCAACGAAAATATCTGTGCCAAGGTCAAATAAAAACAATACCAAGCTTACGACATTCATTATGTATCCCATTTTCTTCTCAGATGAACTAAAAAAAGAACATATTTGTCATTTATCAATTACATGAGTGGGTCTTGTGCTGGAAAGAAGCACTGGAACAATTATGTGGATTCGAGATCTGTTTGCTTCAATTTAATTTATTTAGTCATTGTGCATGGATGCATTCCTGTCAGAGGCTGGCTGGCGAAACAGCTTGCAATATGAATAGGTGTATCTGCGTGTGTATGTATCTATAACTATGTACAGTACGCTAGACTGAACAGTAGACGAGCATATCCGACCATAACTGAAATAACGTATAATAAAATGCTTCCACATACGCTTGTATTCTAAAAGCTCACACTCAAACTCATTGAGTCATTGAGACCGGGTCTCGATTAATCTTCTCATCACGGTATATCCACTCCAATAAGGGCGCGATTTTCAGTGTTTTACTTTAAATATTCCATTGACTCAGGAAGATCTAACTCTCATGCATCAGTAATAACAAAATTTATATATCACACACGATCTATCTGTTAGTGTCTATAATATTATCTTCTATATGACTACATTTTATCAACTATAGCATGCAGTTATTAATTTGTGTAGTTTGACATATGCTAGTGAACATGAACACTTACCTCAAAACAATAAAAAAGATTCTTGATGACTTACACCAACGTGGAAAAGACTAGAAAGGGATAGACGCTTTACGTTGGTTTATCTAAAATTGCATACAAACGAACAGAAAACGCTCTTTTACTTTCGTATTTGTATAAAATTATACGGTTTATATAACGTTCTCAGCGTGAAATTTGCATTCGCTTTGTGGAACTACAATGTCAAAACAAATTATGTTCTATTTTGGAAATTGAAATATTTGATTAATAAGGTTGCGATGTGTCTTTTCAGCCCGGGTTGTGTTTATGACGCGTGAGAATTATTTTAAGACCAGGGCTGAGCCGCTGAGTTTGTAAAGGCTGGTAAGTAGACCTATTTCCATTCTTCGAGCGCTTTAAAACCCGAATGACAATAACTTGACCTTTAACTTAAAGGGACTGTGATTGCACATGAAAATGAAATAAACAACAACAAAAAAGCATTATCAAGGCGAAGATTTCTGGTCCGGGTTTAATTTTGTTTACGATTACATGACAACAACACTAAGTTTCAGCTTGGGTGTAGCTTAAACCGGGCTGAAACTCAGCCTGGGCTGAAATTATTGTCATATATATATTTTTATAGAGGTATATTTAATTGGCATTTCATAACAATACCGGGCTGAACTTTCAGCTCTGTAAGCCGGGCTGAAAAGACTCCATGTAATCAGCCAAAAAATATATAGACTAGATTGTGCATTGTTTAATATATTTTCGCAGCCAAGTAAAGGTGGGAAGAACGAATGTTATGAGCTCTACCAATTACAAGACTGGCAAAACTTTTCAAATTATAGCTAAAAGATTTGTTGAACGTTTCTTGTTTCAGTTTTAAGTGCGGTTTACCAGTTTTTTAAATTTAGGACAAAATTTTTCGTTTGAATAAAAGATTTCGCTTGATTTCCTTTTCAATTGCATGTGACCTGTCAAAGGAATCTACCGCGGACGACAAGGGTTTGAGAGTATCGTTCCGTGTGCCATATGCTTGTTCTCGACTGGAACGAGCCTGGAGAAAAGCTCCTGTGGCATCGCTGCATTGTCCTTCTTTGTGCATTGCCTTAATTTTGTGAATTTATCGTCAATGAGTTCGGAACTGTTTCAATGGACCACTTTTATAACAGACAAACGTTTATATTTAGGCAACAAAAGAGGAATTTCCGAAAAGTTGCCAAATATTGTAAAATACCGAAGATAGTTCTTAAAGTATCAAGGCGTATTTGGAAAATTTTGCATTAACTTAATTTGCACTATGGCCGGAAGAGTATAACTAATACATTTTCCCCTGTAATACAAATGTATACAAAAAATTGCCTACATTGTAAATATGCCTATATTTTCCGTACTACTTGACATTTTACAACTAAACTTGGCAATTATATATACTTTAGTATATATACTCTTTTTAGCACTGGTGATTTATTTTCTTCTTATTACCTGCATGGATCACACGTTTGTCTATTATGCAAGTAGGCCATTACATGTGTAGGTTTCTTTAGAAAATAGCATTCAACAATCTTTATCTGGATCAGGTTAATTCAAATTGCATGTTTACGAAGATTTCAACTCCCCGCATTGATCCCTGCAGTCCCAAGAAAAACACAAAAATAATAGTCATGTCAAAACATACATACAGCTCAAGCTACTTTAATTTTGCTTTTATAAATTATACACTTTTCTGTTCGTGAAATTATATAAAAAGCAATCACTATAAAATTAATGTCCACAATCGTTGCATGCTATACATTTGTGATGTTTGTGAATATAATAGTACATTACAAATCTGTATGATGATATCTGTATCACAATAATCCTTACTTAAAACCGGACTTTCGGTGTATCTTTTAAACATAACTGGTTATCAACTTTCTTTTAACTGATGTACCCCAGAGGCCAGTTGTTCAAAGCTAGGTTAGCATATAGCCCTGGTAAAAAATTTTATCCAGTGTTTTATTTAGTTTACGTGCTTCTGAGCCATGCATGGTTCGTTTCAAAACTTAAAAATAGACTTCTATCAGTCCGGAACATATTTATGATACTTTGTAAGCAGTCGATTAAAAAAATTAATGTAAAGATTTGCTTTAACCCAGACTTAAGCTAACCGGCTTTTAACAACCAGCCCCAGGAGTGGTTTTATATCCTTAGTTTACTTTTTAATTTACGCCACGATTATTCAAGTTTCTTTTGGTTTTACCTGGTGCATGTATATATATAGCTACATATATCTCTCTACATAATATATCATATATAAACTGGCTTTACGACATCTACAACTATTTATATGATGTTAGTTGTATGCCGCCATGTTTGCAGAGATATTTAAAAATCGTTAATTCCATGCAGATAAATGGCTTGCATTCGATACTTTGAATTTATCCATGCATCACCAACATGGCGGCAAAAACATTTGAATTTTCAGAATCTTCATAACATATATTCGACACATCTACTATCCACTTTGGGCACATTATTTGCATGATTATACAGGGTGTCCCAAAAAAAAAGCAACCACTTAAATATGCAGAACATTAATACAGCTCTAAAGCGCAATAGATAAGCACCTCTGGGAATTGAAAATGGCTCTTAATCCTTCATTTACAATGCTAAAAGTCATTTTAGCTGAACTATGGTGCAAACCCGAACAATATTAATATTCTTGCATATTTAAGTGGTTGCGTTTTTTTTTGGGACACCCTGTAGATAAACAATAATGAGTACACCTTCATAGTTAAATATTGAGAAGCATACACATGCAAGCTTTAATAAGCATGTGCGTATAATCAGTGTTTTCCGGATAAATCAACATTAGCATTAAAGTGGAAGTCAAGTCCGTATGCAAACAAACTGTTTGCTTACATTTTGAACTTCTATACTTTTTGAAATACGTTGTGTTGTGCTGAGTATCTAACAACATTTAGGTTCGCTATGCCTTTAATTAAACAAAATTTTAACTAGTGTTTCTGATGAGAAAAACTCGAAACACGCGAAATTTGGGCAAAATATTTATCTAACAACCTCACATTGTTATGACGGAATCGATGCGCAGAACGGACTTTTGGCTTCCACTTTAAATTATGAAAATTTATCGCAGAAGATTGCTCGTTGTTCTTTGTGGGAATATTTAGTGAATTAAACAATACATGAAAGGTCTCTAATACAAATTTTAGAAATGATTTCATGAAGAGCTCTTTCCAAGGACGTATAATAACACTTACATCAACTGAGTGAAAGGTAAAGATAACCTCAATTGACAAAGAACGGTTACGATACCCGGGTTTTGGTTTTATTAATTTGTATAGGAGTAGCGGTGGTTTTCACCCCAAACCTCCCACTTTTCTGTCATATATAAATATACAATCAGTGTGAGTCAGTCTTTTTCGATTTTAGGAGATTATTTCAAGAAGGTACCTAGACTGAACTTTGTGAAGAAAAAGATATAACATCGAAAACTGAAGATCCAACAACTATACGTTGGTCGGAAAAGCCATTAAGATTAGTAAGACAAGTTAAACGAAGTATAGTAAAAACAGTCGCTACTTGTCTTGCTGCAGTTCAGTTGTTTTCGAAAAGCAGTTTACTTCCGATAATTTTGCATCCACAGTTCCACATTCAAGCAAGTGGCTTTTTAATGAGGCAGAAAAAGTCCTGAAATGACGGGTCTTACAATTCAGTATTAACAAAGCATTATTATTATGATACATAAGTGAATTCAAGTTTTAAGTCAATGAGGATCGGAAGCCAGTAGTTTTGCAAAAGATTGAAAGATGAGTACAGATTTTCGAGTTATGAAATAAATTTCGCCCAAATACACTGCAATGTAATTACAGCTGTAATTACAAATCAGTCCGGAAGATATTGATATGAAATAATTACTTTTTAAACTCAAGTCATGCAATTGCGTGCTTTGGTAATAAGCAAAAATAATCTCAAATTTCTCTATTATACTAAAGTTAACATGCAAGAATGCCTAAAACGTCTATCAATGTTTTGAGTTTGTGATATTTGGTTTTGAAAAGATATGTTGCATATTCTAATAATTTTTTTCTTTCTTTTTCAATTTTTCTCTATGTTACCTCAATTTACTATGGACATCGTCGCTAAAGTTTTAGCTTCACTTAGCCGCACCGACTCTATAGAAACAGATTTTTGAACGACTAAAGACAAACCACAGTTCATTCCAAATCATTCCAAATCACAGATCGCACTTTCAAACATAACGCATCACACTACAGATCGCAATTTCAAAAGAAACCTGTTTTTATGAATTACTGCATGTGCAAGGCCAAAGGTGAAATCTAACCTGATTCATCTTCGTCACTGCTGGTACTGCTATTGCTATAATCAGAAAATGTTATATCAATCAAATGCTCTTTTTCGAGTGATGATGGAAAGTTTTGTGGAAGAATTTTGCATTCTCGCTTTTCGCTATTCTCTTGCACACGGAAATCTGAGGGTAACTCGAAATTTGGAGGCAGCCCGTATTTGAGCCCGGTGAGTTTAAGCATTCTTATCTCCCCAGATGATCCAAGGGAAACAATTTTGTCCTTGTCTGGAGATATCGCCATGCTGATAATCGATTCTTGCTTCACGTAGGCGATGGATTTCCACACAGAGAGATCAAACAAAAACACAACACCATCGACACCGTAAGATATCAGATAGCGATTCTCTCGCAGAAAATTGCAATATTCAATTCTACCCAAGTTATTAAGTGGCACATTCCAAAAGCAACTCGGACCATTGACGGGATAGATAAGGATCTCATTACCAATACAGCAAGCAAGAAGCTTGCCGTCAGACGAGACGGTGCAATAATTACATCTACGATATGCTATGCGATGCACGTTAGGCACGTCCACAAAATTGAAAGAAGAGAGCTTTGGAGGATAATCAAGTGCCAGAACAGACAACGCGTTACAGAAATACAACTTGGTAATATCTGAAGAAAAGCAAACACTTTCTATGTGCATCGTATATGGAAGGCTTAAAGGATCAGACAAAACGCTATTCGTCACATCCCATACGTAGAAAGACTGGTCATCACCAGCTTTTTGGACGGAAAATAGAAGTAAAGAATCATCAGTTGAAAATGTTAGACAAGAAAAACTGTGTTCGCATTCTTCTTTGATATTAAAAACTGAGCATAGAAACTCTCTACCTTTAAACAAAATGAGCTCAGATCCTTGATGCATAGCGATTATTTTTCCATAATGAGAAAAAGTACATTTCTTAACGAGGTCCTTTGTTGAGTGCTCATTCTTACTTAAGTATCGAATGTCATGCTGGATCATGTCTTTATCGGTTAAGTTGTACGACAAGCACAACCCATCGTGAAAGAGGAATATGATTGAATCAGGTGAGGTGAATATAACTTTATTTGACTGAATTGGTTTAGTATAATTTCTAAAGCAATTACGAAGAAATTCTCCAGGCAAATATTGTAAGGAGACAACTTTGGTCTCATTGTTAAAGCCTCTGAAAATATACCGAAATTCACTATGGTGGTCTTGTTCAAATGAGCAACGAAACGGAACTATTCTTGAAGTACTTTCAATCTCTTCGCCTGTCTGAAGAGAAACTGCGAACAGTTTCTGCCCAGAAACGTAGATAATATAATTGTCGTGGATAAAAGCAAGATTATCCACCATTTTCATAATTTTATTAAGTAACGCAGTTGGACGATTTTCCCAAATACTTTTGGTTATCTCTTCAAACAGCTTTAACTTACTATTACTAACCATCACAAGCTGTGTCCCAGTAGTGAAAATATAAGAATCACCAAAACACTTTACAGGCAAAGCATTTATATTTTTAACTGGAGGATATTTGTTTGCATATACTGCGAGAAGAGAATATTTGCTGTACAAATCTTTCAACTCAGTTAGAGAAGACGATATTTTTGAAACCGGCCTATTACGAAGTGAAATTTTAAACAAATCTTTGTTATCGCTACTCGAAGAAAACCAGCTAAACAAATCGTACTTCATTGAACGAAGACCTGTTTTTTTCGATAGATAATGTTCTAAACCTTCAAGGAAAATGTAATGAAGACTTTTCTCCCTAAAACTTTCACTTGGCAACTGATCTTCTTCTACAGTTAACGCACTCGGAGAACAGTCGATGGTCTCCTGCTCCCTGCGTAATTTTGCATTTACATAATCCGATAAATTTAAATGCCGACATGCATAAAAAAAGATATCGAAAAAACAATCCTCACTGTAGCTTAAATAGTCAATTGGCAGATCGTCTATTACCGTGGTAGCAACACCAAAAATTCTATAAAAGGCGTGAAATATTGCAATGTCATGAAGCGCAATATCTCCTGCATGTGATATGATATATTCAATAGGCATGACAGAAAAAATGTGCCAAAGATAGAAAAATGGCATTGACTTCATCTGCGAGGAAAACATCTCTTCTAACACGGGCCTTCCAGTCTCCACATTCCAGATTTGACGCTCAAAGATATCAGCATAATAAAAAGAAATTCGTTCGCGAATATCCATCTCCGGATTGTCAAGTTCTTTATAGTTCTCACAAATTTTGTGTCTTTCAGCAACCAGTGAGAGAATTTCATGTTGCATTTCCAGAGTAAAAAAACCTAAAAATCTTTCTTTCGAACAAAATTCACCACATAAAGCCAACTCCCTAATTGCCCATCTAGAAAACATGTGACGTAAACAAATTGGATGTTTAGGAATTTGCCCTCTCACCGCAATATATTGGCTATCAGAAATAAACGAACCCCATTCATAACGCTTGGAGTTCCCTTTAAACTGAGTTTTCTCCACGACACGTTCCTCTTCCACTGATAACCATCGGTCAAGTCTCCCAAAAAATATGAATTTGTCATCTGGTGAAAATTCCAAATGTGATATACATTGGTTACTATCAATCGCTACTTCAATTGGCCCGAAAATTTTTTGCAAAGAACCCGAGTCATACAAAAATACATATCGTTCTTTCCCTCCAGCAAGGAAGCTTTTGTTATGAGAGAATGTACAGAACTCCATGTCACATAAAATATTCCTGACAGAGATAGCATGATCAAATACATTACATGACTGGCCTTGGGTAATTCCACTGTGAGCTAAAACATTTGGAGGCCTAATATTGGCCAGTGTAAGCTGAGATGCTTTCCGGAGACAAGAGGCGAGAAGTTCAGAACTTCCAAGAACAATATATTTGTCTTCCCTAAGAACCGAAGCGATGTTATCTAGGATAGCTTTTTTCTCGTGATCAAACGCCATGTTGGCAACAGATAACTCAAGATCTTCAAGGAGAGAATAAATTCCTAGTTTGTTACTTTCTAATCGCTGCTTAAGAAAGTAGAAGTTTGTTAGGCACTTAAAAACAATTTCAGAGTTCACAGACACATCTGTACCTGACTGATACAACAAACGAAATCCAATAACTAAGATATATGTCACTACATCGGGTGAAGTCTCGTCAAACGAAGGGTCATTTTGTTGTTCTTCAAGAAAAGAATCGAGAAATTCAATAATGATTTTTGTAAAGTATTTGCTTGACACAACTTTGTCAATGAACAATTCTCGAGGCGCCTTTTGTACGTCAGCTAACCAGGACGGAATCAAACCGTGAAGAAACGCAAAGGTTTTATCTGAAGTTCGTAAGGCAACAAACAGCGAAATAGCATCAATCACTTTCTGCTCATTTAAAGCGTTGTTTTCTCTTTTCAAAAGAAATGAAATAAATGAAACAGGAAGTGGAGAAGGCGCCACCAAAGCACAGCCAAACAATTTCCTATAAATATCCTTACCTATTTTTTCTTTGACGCGTTCGAAATTTTTGTAAAAGAATTCGTTAATATTTTTAGGGAAAAGATCGCCATCCTTAATCTGGTCAGGATGTTCCGCAATGTAGAAAGCGTACAAAAACATTCCATTGCATTTTTCTGTTAGTTGTTCAGCAGTGTAGGGCAGACCCACAAAGTTTATTTTATTCGCTAAAAAGCGCTGAATATCCTGTTTATGCTGTTCATAAAAACCTGCGCTTTCGCTATTACCAGCACAAATTCGAATACATGGGTGGTACGTTTGCAATTTGAAATGGACGATGTCTTCCGGTCGACTAGTAATGAAGAAAACGAGCCATTCGGGAAGCATTGGAAAACGGTTCATTATGAGATCAAGAAAATCTTTTCTGGACAAATATTCTGCCTCATCTAGTGCATCAATCACAATAAGCTTTTTCGGAATAGGACTGCATTTACTTAATGGCTCTTCTAGCAATTTTGTAAAGAGCTCCTGAACTCCTAGCTTAGTATTAGTCAACATATTTTGTATCGCGGACTCTCCTCCCACAACTCTACCATATTGACTATTACAAATACACAGTTGATAAGCGATAGTACCAAGCAGATACCTGGGATCACGACGTGTGCCATCGTAGTGACGACAAAAGTACGCAGCTGCCATGTTTCCATCCTTCTTTGCCCTCTGAGCAACGACAGCAGCCATGACACTTTTGCCAACTGCGGCATCACCCAGCAGCACATAGGCTCTGGAGTTACCAGAATCACTGAACCACTTGTTGAAATCTTGCAGTAGCCAAAGTCTTGTGTCTGGATCGTAACGTCCAGCAAAATATTCAATGTCAGAAGTACAATCGGAGAAACCTAAAAATTTCAAAAATTTAGCCTCAATTATGGAGCAGGTAACATACAAATAACTAAAACCTCTCTAAGTAACTTGATTCATGGATCAACCAGATTAATCATTAGCTCAGATATAGAATACTGGGCCAGGATTTCAATATTTTATTAGAACTGTGACAATACTAATCTTGCGAAATTTTATTTTCCTTGGAATTTCGCGCAATATAATTGGTCGAAAAAAACAGAACAAACTACCGTGTGCGCAAAAAATTGTTTCGCAAATGGGAAGAAAATTCGGATTCCATGGACGGAGAACAAAAAATGTCCGATTTCATCTTAAGTAAGTTTTATAAATGATAACTGATTGCAACATTTAAACAATACCGTAAGAAATATTCTGTCGGCCCTCTATTTTTGTGACGCGTTGTTGAATGGCTTCATGTCCGGCCTGATGTAAATCAACTCTGGCTGAAATAGAGCTATGCTCTTTTTGGATAACTTCTTGATTGGTTTTCAGTTGTTCTACTTCGTCATTTGTGGAACTTAGTTCATGTTGCATAGTATCCTGGGTAAGCTCCATATTTTTAACTCGTTTCTCGCAATTTTGTAAATTTTCGTGAGTATTTTCCAAAATTTCTTTCAAGTTACACAATTCTTCTTGACTCTCAAACGCCATCTTGTTCACGTCACTTGACAATTTAATAACATGTTCTTGCATTACTTTAACTAGCTCCGAATCAATTGAAGCATTCATACACAATGCAACACCTATAACAAGAAAAACTATAATTTAAAAACTCTTCTGAGGCCAATTTTCTTATCTAAAACTTTCCTTCTTAATTTTATCATGCAATACGGAATAGAATATAAACACCAAGTAAATAATCACATAAAAAATACATACCTTTGTCTTTCCAGTCATTAAGATCCGCTAAAACTTTCGATTCATCTGCAGGAGATAAACCAACTTCTCTCAGCAGTTTTTCCATGTCGTCAAAACTCTTCTTGAACTTTGATTCATTCCACTTAGTAAAATTGCAATGACCCCAAGCGTTTCTACATTCTCTAACAACATTTGCCGCATTTTGGAGAGCAGCAGAAAACACTGGAATTCTTCCAAGTAGAGTAAGAACAGCGGATGCATCACAAGTTTCATCGAACGCGTTGAGCTTAGCCATGTAATTCAGGAGAAAAATCATGGCAAAGTCAACATGGGAAGTAACTTTGTAGTCAAACTTGGAGTAATCAAACTTTTTATAGTGCGGGGCTTTTAACTTGGTATCATTCCCGTTGATATTCTCGTATTTCATGGCATTACAAGTTGGATATTTCGGCGAAGGAAAGCTGTGTGTGGTCTGAACGTGAATATTGTTTTTTAATTTAAGGTCGTTGTACTCGTTGAGAATTTCCTGCTCTAGAACAGGACGTATTGCAGGCACGACGACATGGTTGAGAGCAATTCCAAAGACGCACCATCGTTTATGGTCCTCTGTTAATGTGGTTAATTTTGACCTGGGTGACAAAAAATATTATTATATAACACTTGTCAAAGTTTGGTGTTTGTAGGATTTCATTGGTCGAGAGCGAATCACGCGAGACTGACGAAATATTGATGTCGTCAGCGCAACCGCCTGCAGAGTGAGATAACGTGTTATCTCAAGGGAAATAATTAACACTTATTTACTGCGACCGAAGGAAACATTATGTTTTGTGGACCCGAGACCTGTCGATATTTCACGAGGCGAAGCCGAGTAAAATATCGACGGTCGAGGGTCCACTAAACATAATGTTTTCTGAGGTCGCAGTAAATAAGTTTTTTATTATATACCACTTGTCAAAGAAAAACTAAACAACGAAGTAAACAACGAAATGTTTATTTATAAAACATGTAATTTCAAATAAAGAAACAATTAAGTACACGCAAAGTTTTATAAATGCAGAAGAAGTTCAAAAGTCTAAAACTCAACTGAAAACAGTTAAAACAGTCGCTAGTATTGCTGGCAAATCTTTCCATTCTAGTTTTTAACAGTTGTCAAAAACAAACGCTGCGAAGGACGAAGGTCAACTTAGCCCAATGTCAACTAAAGGTCAGATGTCCACGAGTGCAGCACGTGATTAAAGTTGTTATTTCCCATGAAATAATGCATTGTTTCCCCCTGCTGGGGGTCGCGCGGGCGACATCAAAATTTCGTCACTCTCACGTGATTCGCTCTCGACCAATGAAACGCTACGAACACCAAACTTTGACAAGTGGTATATAATAACAACTTTTATTATACATTATAGTAGTAAAAGCAATTTGATTAGCTAATAGTTGACAGATAAATCGTGCAATCACGCAAAATTCAATTATCTGCTAGCAGATAACTGAGTTATCTGCAAGTGAGCCTGCGGTGGTTAACAAGCGGTATTCATTTCAATGTATTTATGTATTAATAATTAATGTATTTTTGGATGTTGCTATTAAATAAGGTTTTTCATTCGTTAATACTATATATTATGATCGTGTTTTCAGTAGATATTTACCGCGCTTTCGGCGAATAATTATTCACACATTAGCAGCAGGTCCGAATCTAGAACAACATTTAGGGGGGGGGTGGTGTTTGCTCATATATTCAGTTCTTTGCGACGGAATTTTTCTGTAAGTCCAATAGCTTACAATTATTGTTGTAGTTTCGGTACCGATTACCTGGTCTCAGGCAAGTGTGTTTTAATATTCCCACGCAATTCGCATATGGTGAGTAGATTCACGTGTGAGTGGTGTCACTGGTGTCGTATAATTTCCTATTGACGTGAAAAAGGCACCCAGGCTACGTGAATGTATCCATTAATATATCAATTAGTATTGCCACTTAATTATTACTTTCTTCCCAAAGTCAACGTTTTGGTTTGTTTCAACTATGGTGTACTATATTGTGATTCTTTATATTAAGTAAAAATAATACTAATAATACAAATACGAATTACCTGTTATGTGAACCAGTTTTCAATGTACTTGTCATTTTGTGGCTGTTTTTCGTAACATTTTTCAACAGTAATTTTCCACAAATAGATCCTTTAATAGTAAAAAGTTTCAGTTGTTAGGGAAACGTAAAGTTAATTTCCGTGATAAATTTCCGCGGATCAGTTTCAATCAACATGCTTGCATGGCATGACAATAGGAAGTTTACGATTTACGACGCGGTTAGCTCGATGACGGTAGTAAATTATTTTGCTATAAATAAGCTACCAGAAATTAATCATGCTCCAGAACTCTAAAAAACATACGAACGTCTCAATTGTGCCAAGAACCTCTGACAGTTAGCTGATATTGCAGTTGTATATAACCTGTAAAATAGCTATCACGTTGTCGCTGATGCGTCGAAGAATGACAACGCTTTCACAACGCTTTCATGGGACCACAAATTATGCATGCCTATTGTCTCTAGTGCGCGAATTTTCTTAGTTTTCTAAGCGCGTGGTCGAGCTGGCCGCGTCGTAGATCGTAAACTCCCTAATGTTTCCTTTGTTCGCAGTAAATATGTGTTAATTAGCAGGAAATTGAAAAAGCAGTCTTCTTGCAAATTCTAGAGGTTCAAATAAGGCAAATTCATCCGCAAATTAAGTCAGGTTCAATAGGGCAAATTCTAGAGGTTCATAGAGTCAAATACACCATTATTATACGCCTAGCTTAAATCTTTTGGGATGCTCTACAAGTATTCAGCAAGATGAACATTTCTGAATAAATGTGAAAATTTACAATTAATAAGATCATATACTGTTCACATTTTTATATAAGAATTGGTCTTCCAAAAGTATGCATAACTGCATGTGTTAAATATTGCAATTGTGTTGTAATGAATTCAAATATTTGGGGTATTAATATTTAGATAAATAACTATAAAACTTCGTTATAGTTATAGGACTAACATAACTTAAACATGTTGCTATTTTGTTTCATTGGTGACCTTGTGCACGCTTGTAATATTTGGATACTTATTGGACTAAAATGGTAAATAATGTTTATACTTTGTTTCATTGGTGGTCTGTTGAAATATTTGGATAAATAACTGAAAATGTTATGATTATATGACTAAAGCAGTGTTTACACTACAACCCTAGGTGTACCTTTGTACCTTTGTAATTGAAGTCACTGGCGTAGCCAGCCCGACAATTTAGTCATGCTATGCTAATATTTTGGTGTTCATTGACTGAGAAAACAACGAATTTCTAAAGAAATGAATAATGATATTAACATAAAATTTGCATAGCAATAAGCTGGCTACGCCACTGATTAAAGTACATTTCAGGCTGGACCAGTAAATCTGGATCACCTAGGCTTGTAATGTAAACACTGCATAAGTCACAGCTCATGCTGGTATTTCATTTCATTGGTGACTATACATGAATATGAATATATGTATCATACTAAATGATGACTGTTGACATTTTCATTTGCAATACATGTTTGTTAAACTTTAAGCATATTTTGTTTCGGCAGAATGCATGGCTAGAATTAGATGTAGATTGACTAGCCATGTGACATGCTAAAACACAAAATATGTCACAATCATCCTTTGAACCCCTAGCTAATTTTCATACAAGCTAAATTTGTCAAATTATGTACAGTCACAACTGATTTGTACTGATAGTAAACTTGCTTGCAAACAGAATTTTAATTTGCAAATTAATCTACAAACTAAGGCAGGTTTTATAAGCCAAACTCTAGAGGTTCATGCGGTCTTAATTTTTGGTTAGGTGCGTAAAATACAATATAAAATTGTCTCTGAATAAGTTTATGATGCTTCAATGCTGTTTAAATATTATAAAATTCAATAATATGAAACCAGATAACATACATATTTCGCTCGACCGCCGAGCAAATAAAGTAACATACTTGAACGAATGCCACCGTACTCAACTCACATAATTTATTTCAAAATTATTTTTAGGCGAATTTTGCAACATAGTAGCAATTAAAAATCCAACTCCACCTTTCGGTTTTCGCTGCGGCCATTTTGTATCCACAAATATTGATTGTTGGTTTTTGTTGCATATAAACGAAATAGAAATCTAAAATGTTGCTCGATTGGTTGTCATTTAAGTACGTCGTCCCTCATTGGCTGCGAACAACAAAACTAAATGGTAATGTGTCTGCGCTCGCAGATACAAAAATCGGCAAAAACTTCAATTCTATGTTTAAGGTCATATCGTCTAAATGCCAGCTAGGCCGGAAGCTACTATATAAAGTATAAACCGTCAAACACGTTAACACATCCTTTATTGCCAGTCTACTATATAAAGGTCTGTTCACACGATCCAACTTTGTTGGATCCAATTCACTTCTAACGTATGAAATATAGTCGGTTATTGATAAAGAAAGTACTGCATTGCCTTCAGTGGATTTGCTGCTCGTATACATTACAAGACAACAGACTATAATGCATCCATCAGAGGTGAATTGGATATCTATGATTTGATCTATACCATCACTCTGACGGCAGAGTTCTGAAACTTGCCTTGAGCATCGATTAACAAAGATATATAAGTTGGTATTACCTGCACTGGTAAAAATATCACCTTGAATCTGCCGGGCAAACTTCTCGGCTCTCGCAGTTATAAGGCTTAATAAATTCCTCTAAAACGTCGGTGTTTTAAAATTTTACTGTCATTGAACACTTTCGAATTGAAAGAACTCACTTTTAACCCATTTATACACCAAATGAAAAGCGTTGATTGCGTGTTACTTCGGGAGACGCGAAGTAGTGCAAGGAGTGTCCAGCGCATACGTTGAATTCCGCAAAATATGCAAAATTCCCTTATTTTTTCCACTTTGTAAGGCTGTTTCCACTAGGCGGAATTTTGCATGAAAACGTACCATTGAAGCGTGCGGACATTGAAAACTTCCGCTTCGCGCCCAAAATTTCGCCTTGTGGAAAACGTCCCTTAGCCCGGAAATTTGATTTAGTTGGCTTTATATTCGGAAATAATTTTTGTTTTAAACCAATAATCCTTCACTGAAAGACTACAGGGATACCGGGTAATTTCCCGGCGTGTTTTTCATATTTATGCTGCTTGTCGCCCATTTCCAGTGACTGTCGTTCATGTTTCAGTTGCAAATGGTGCCCCCTATCTGAATCTTCCCGGTAAGTCTGGTATTTATACCAGTCTTTTAACCGACTGTAAATAATTTACGGTCACCGGTTAACAAAATCGCTATATATGTGTGGGGATGTCATTTTATAGTTCTTTTAAAACATCTTTAGATCAGAATTCACATGTTTTGTTTGTAATCCCCTAATGAAACTCCCATCATAGGAATCCCAATAAATATTTTTGAAATAATAAGTAAATAGTCCATTTACGTTGTGAGTTCAGTGACGTTAGTGATCGCGAAGCATAAGATATATAACTAGGTTACCTAAAGGCAGTAGTGCTGCCTATACTCTTATAGAAATAGCATGCGCAAAATGCTTGCTTGTTAAAAATTCATACCATGGTTACGCAAATTATAGTCAAATGTTATACGACACTTCAAATTACAATAGATCAAAGGTCAAATTCCAAATGCGCGAGGTATTTGTGAAACTAAAACCCTGAGGCTTTAGCCCCTTAAATAAAACAATCAAAGAACTAACTTAAAAGTTAAATACTCATACATACTTTAGTTACGCCACACAGGTTTACCCCAATGATAAAAGTAAAAGAAAATATGTTTCAAACCTTTTAAAAAAATCGAAATGACAAAGCTATAAAACAAGTGACAGTCAAATGTTATACGACACCATAAAATCACAATAGATTAAAGTTCAAATTCCAAACGCGCAAGTATTTGTAAAAGACCAAAAGCACAAGACTCCAATTGCCAAGTAACGGTATGGTTCACCACGTCGCTTTTGGTGTCCGTTTATACAACAGTGATGCGTCATGCGAGCACAATCTCACGGCTAACTCAGTGACAGTGTCTGCCTTCCAAAAACACTTTGAATTTGAAACACTGACCGTATAAAGCATGGAGTCGTTTTATAGTATACTGACCGCATTGCATTGTGGTAGGAGATCTTTTACCACAATGCAGTGCGCTATTTCGTAAATTTGCTTCCCCTACTACACAAATTAGGGACTGCTGCCTTGCTCGGTCGCTCAGGCGACCTCGCTGCGGCAGCAACTACATCTTATGCTTCGCGATCACTGACGTCACTGAACTCGCAACGTAACTGGACTATTTACTTATTATTTCAAAAATATTTATTGGGATTCATATGCTCCCATATAAGGAGTTGAAAATATATAATATACGTCATATGACTTGATTGTTTTTCTCGCTGATTAAACATTATGCTTTCTATGGCTATGCAAATTATTAAGTTAAAACTCTTTATCAAATGATTGACATTGAAATTATTGCAGTAATTATAGGGCTTATCTCCTTTAAATATTAGCCACTCTGCTAACAAAAGTTATATTAAATAACATTGTACTTGGTAATATCCGGTAATAATAGCTTAGACCCCCATGGTTACTGTTTAACACAAAACATTTCGAACAGATTGTTTGGATACAATCTTAACCATACAACGCTAAAGCCTGAAGGACTTCATTGAATATCGTCGCCGCATCCTTTCAAGTCGCCTATAAAGTACTACCATGCGGAAATCAATGTCTATCGCTATTTGGATTTTGGCAGTAATATCAATTTCCAGGAATGTCAACACTGAACACAACTTAGTGCAACAACATATCGAAAGGAAGAAAGGTACGAGAACTTTTATACGATTTTTGTGTATGAATTTGAGTAGGCTATATTACCACGAGTATCAATTGTAAGTATATTGTTTCGCGAGTCCGTATGAATATTTTCATAAGGCAATTTGATAAGGCAACAATCTAAGAGCTCTAAATTTGATTAGTAAGCACACTGCGTAGGCAACCAGTCGATATTTGCAGTGTGTTTGCAATCGTTAACAAGACAATAAAACAGACTGTTTTAGAAAGAGATATAACTGGCCAAAAACACGCGAAATTTCATGTCAAATATCCGATGAAAGACCTTAATATTAAGACTTCAAGGGAAAATCCCTCTGTATAATTACGGTCATAAGACACTGTTGATGGAAAATTAAAAGACACGCAATAAACTTTCATGATAAATGCTGAGATATAGATTATAGCCCGTTGCAATTTTATATACTATTTGGAGCTTCATAATCAAATGTTGAGTCCGCTTTCCTCGTTTGATTACGAGTTTTACATCACATACTTTTCGTGAAAAAATTCAGATGACATGCATACGAATACTTTTTTTACAGCTTCCTTGATGGTGCAATAGATCAAAAGTTAGTAATATAATAATATTTCAACTATATGTGCACGCAATCAATTTCATTTCCATCCCAAACGACTTTGAAGAGAATATCATCATCGCATATTACAACAGAGAAACGAATTATTCAGTCACACAAAATAATCTATGCCTGGGCATGTTATCATACGCAAATGTTTAGAATTTCATGTCTGCGTCTGAAATACGAGTATATATAGTTTGAATGGTGTATTCAGGTTTCATACCCAGGGTTATAACCCAAATTCAATCTCTGTGGAAATTATCTTTGAAATTAAGCTTGCTCGATCGAGAGAGGCATATCTAAAGAGACTTTTATCGTTAGTGTCTTTCCAAAAGTATGAAATACAAGTTTCATAAGCTCCATGAAATATAAATTCCAAAATACCATGCATACAATTTCATTAGACTAGGTTTTACGAAGAAAATGCAAGCCGTGAAACCATATGTGAAAACTTTGTATTTGAAACCATACAATTTAATTGCTACACTTTTTTAGCACTTGCACAAGACTCGCAACTCGTGGAAATATCGTACATCTCAAAGCCAAGTGTATCTGCGATAGACGTCTCGTGTCGTGCGCCGATTGCAGCTCTTAGTTTCAAAATCGTGTGCCCGGCACTTGACGATCCACCTGATCTTGAAAATTCCCGTAGTTCAAATGACGCCGGCGAATGCAACTCGGATGACGAGTATTTCCAAGGTCGTGGTTGTTCACACAGAGTTCGTAGAATCCTTTCGAAGCAAGTCGAAAATCTTGCTAATTTCACCTGCTTTTGCTGGATAAAAGAGCAAGCATTGCCGGAGAATGTAAAAAGCAAAGCTTCAGTTAAAATCATAAATCATGGTATGTAACCTTGAATCCTCATATTAGCCCCGTTTACACTGTCTACACTCGATTTATTGGCACGGAATTTGTTAAAATTGGCTATATGGCTATGGCAATAATGGCATGGCTGTCATTTCAATTTAACCCATTTGAAATGTTACAATCTAATTGTAAAATTCAAAGGGAAAAATAGGAATTTAGAATTGCTGGACTTGTTTCACTCGAGGCACCACATGTTGACTAGTAGATTAAGCTTTTTGTAACAGGGCTGCGAGATTTATACCGGCATGTAGCGTCTTCAAAATTCTTATATAGTATAGACTGGGGCCGTTTGTTCGAAAGGCGTTCAGCTTAAACGGTTGGATAAGTTCAAAATGGAAAACAAAATGATCTATTTATTGAACAACTGAGCTGAAATATTTCGATGTAAATAGTTTAATTTTCAATGGAAGTGCATATTTAATGCACAAGATGCAGGCTCAATCATTCACAACGTCTGTAAGAATGTTTTTGAAATTTGGCTTATCCACCGTTTAAGCTAAACGCCTTTCGAGCAACCGACCCCTGGATCTCCAAACCGCATTTTTGGTAAGAGTTCACAATGTACACCAGGGGGAAAAGCATTTTGAAACGGAATCACAAAGACGCATCGCAAATTATTGCTATGATAGTTTGTTTGTTACTGACATTTAGATAATGAAATATATTTGCTTTAGGAGTTCGTTGGACATATTTCTCAGCCTTTAACTTATCTATATTACTTAGGGAGCGAAACAACCACAAAGACGTTTTTGCGAAGACGAATTAACGAAGAGAAGAACATCCATCTTGTTTGCCCCATAACTGGCTTCCCTCAGCCGAAAATTACCTGGTATAAAAATCAGCTTCTGCTGAATACCAGCGAGATTACCGTCATCAAGAACGTGAGATATCGACAAAAAAATCGTAGTTTAGTCATAAGTAGGACTAATTTAAGTGGTTCTGGAAGTTATCAATGTTTAGCCAGAAATGCTGCTGGAATGGAGAAAGGAGGAATTTACGAAGTTGAATTTTATGGTAAGATTAATTTTCAATATTCATTTTATCATCTTCTGTCCAACAAAAAAATTTCATTTGGTTTACCCTCAATGACAAATGCATTAAAATATGAAGAAAAACGGCTTAATCGTGATATATTATAAACACCACTGGCTACACAAAAATGTGGATACTGTTTGATACTGTTCTGTATACCGATAAAAAATGTTGCTGAAAAGTGAATGAAACTTATTACACCACTCTTTAAATGCTAATTTTGAAATTGGGTAGTTTTGAATTGAATGAACGCTAAGTCCTTTTTTAAAGCACGAGTAAACCTATTCTTCTCATGGCGTTTAGCAAATTATCGTAAGTCTAATTGGTGCATGCTATGTTAAATTAAACTATGAAGTTATAATAATATATCTAAAGCCCCGTTTACACGGTCACAGTTAATCTGGTTTAACTTGATCTTTGATCTTTCGAATCGGTGTAAATTAAGCGGGATTACTTTGCACTACCTGCGCAAGGTGGATTAAACTACCCGGATCATTTTAAAATTTCTTAAAGTGGTCATGTAAACGCAGTTATGGTGCCAGTTAAACGAGTTCAATTTAAACCGATTTAAGTTTGTACCGTGTAAACGGGGCTTAAGAAAG